TCTTCGCTACAGAAACTGCTGGTCTCGGTCTTTAATTTCACCTCAACAAAGAACTTGTAATTTTTTCAGTGTCATGAAACTCATGATTTCGATTCCACAGTCCATGCACTAGATGTCAACAGCATCATGTTTCATGTTCTATGTTTTGCACTTGTGGATGGGAGGGCATCTAATGTCTTCCTTCCCCAACACCGTACTAGTGTTTTGGTTCAGACTAAGAATCTGACTGTGTGTGTGTGTGTGTGTATGTGAGTGAGAGAGAGGGAGGGATAGTGGAGCCCTTGGAGGATTCTGAGCAAAGGAAAAACTTCGGAGTTGGGAGAGCTATCTAGTATCTGTAATAGGGAAAATTGGGGAGGAGTGTTAATTGTGAAAACAGTTAAAGGTTCACAAAAGTCCTGCTGAAAAATACTAAGGTTCTATGCCTGGGTAGGAAGGGTGAGGATGGGTAAAGCAAGATAGTTTCAAGACACTTTGCCAAGGTGTGATCTAAAGAATCTAAGACTTGATGTAAATGATGAGAAAGATGACAGTATTTGTAGAGGGAATGGTAATGTTATCAGTAGAAATAAAGGGGACAAGAGGGAGGTAGAGAGATATTAACCAGTTTGATTTGGGATATAAAGTATTTGAATTTCTCCACTGGTGTATTTATGTGCAAAGTTAAACTTTCTATAATGTTAATTATTTTGAAGGGGAAGAATATTGATACAAGTTTTCTTAATAAGACTCCTTGGCTGCCACCAATAGGACCCAGCCCTTAAGTTACATCATGTGCCCATTGAACTGGGAGGGGCAGAGAACAGGTACAGCACGTGCAGGATCCCTTTTTTGTGAGTGAATGAGGTGGAAGTTAACAGGGAGTTCAGGGAGTTTGCGAATCCCACAGAAGGCGCCAGTTCCTGTTTGCCTCTGGAAATGTCACATCCACCTGTTTGTGGTTCTAACATAAGGCCAATCTCAATTTCTGCCCTTCGTGTTGGCTTTAGAACCCACTCCCTCAACAGTATGATCCCACTCTATGGTTTGGAATGAAGAAGTACAAGGAACTTGGCTTTCAAATATTCAGGCACCTTCAGCATTTAAAAATCTTTCTATATCCATGTTTTATTTTAGTTTTTAATATTTTATTTATTTATTCATGAGAGACAAGAAAGAGAGAGAGGCAGAGATAGGCAGAGGGAGAAGCAGGCTCCCTGTGGGGAGCCTGATGTGGGACTCGATCTGAGACTCTGGGATCACGCTCTGAGCTGAAGGCAGATATGCTCAGCCACTGAGCCACCCAGGCGTCCCTCCATGTTTTATTTTTTTAAAGATCTATTTATCTATTTGAGAGAGAGAGAGAAGGAGAGGGAGGGTGGGGGTTGGGGAAGGGCAGAAGGACAGAGGGAGAGGATCTCAAGCAGATGCCACACTGGACGCTGGGCTCCATCTCATGACCCTGAGATCATGACCTGAGCAGAAACCAAGAGTCGGACACTAACCCCAATGTGCCACCCAGGCGCGCCTATATCCATGTTTTAAATGAACTTGAGTCATTTGATAATGAAGACAATACTTCCACCAGTCTTGTGTCTAATACTTTTACTTCCCAGCAGCATAATACCACTTTGGTCAGGTTGAACCACTGCACAATTTTGCAGCTCTTTCAGAAACGTAAAGAAAACAATTGGAAAGACGCAATCACATGCAATGGTGAGAAAATAGTACTATTGCCTGATCTTTCCCCAGAAACGTGAAGTATCCTTGGTTCAGCTCCACACTGTGTATTTATTATAAGCCCTTACAGTAAGGGAGTTTGTTTCTTGTAGCACCAAATAGACACAGTGGCTAACAAATAATTCTGAAAAGTCATTGACATATTTATCAGATGTCAAAAATTTTCTGAATCTGTATTTTATCCATGTCCCTGGCTTGAAGTGTTCTTTCCAAGAGTAAGCTGTGACATAAAATTGAGTTTTCAGTCCACTTCTGCCACTGAGGTGGTCTGTTGACCTTAATACTTCACAGCTAGCTTTTCGTATACTACAAAGGACTTTTATATACAGTGACTCATGTATTTTAATGATTCATTTGAATGTAATGGTGTCCCCCAGACCACAGATAATGGATAGACACATGAACTCTTGTGTTACACTGCATGGGTTCAAATCCCCATGTCATCTGCTGTGTGACCCAGACAAGTCACATATCTGTGCTTCAGTTGTCTTGTCTATAAAATGAAACCTACTAGAGTTGTTGAAGGGATTTCATGAATAGTCTATGGAAAGTACCAAGCACAGTAGAACCTAGTAAGAGCTAAATAAGTGTTAGTTATGAATAAATTATTACTCCCCTATCTTGCTGGGGTCTAACTACGGTGTATGGATAACTGAGCAGTATTTTTGAGTGGTGCATTTAGAAAAGCAAGCTCATATAAATAGGTGCAGGGGGTCTTTCATGATTTCCATGGAGTTAGGGATTTCAGTTCTGTCAGCTGTGAAGAGGGACCCGATGGACAGTAAACTTACCTATTGCCAAAGCAAATGTTGAGGAGCTCCTCACAGTAAGCCTCAGGAGGGCACTATGTCTGTCTTGTTGGCTGCTGTCTTTCTAGAACCTAGCGTATAGTAGATGCACAATATATATTTGCTAAATGAATAAACACATGGAAAAGGGCCGGTAGCTATGTGATTAATCTTTAGCTCAGGTACATTCTCGAAATCAAATAGGAAAGAAGTGATCTTTCGAAAGCAAAAGATTTAGAGCTGTGTCCCCAATTACCATGAATTCCTCAGAGAGAAGATACTAGTAAATATTGAAGGAGATATTCATAATGTGCTTGATGACATGACTTTTCTTCTTTTAAAAAATTAACACATAATATTTTATAATACTCATAAATGAAATTCTATGTTTCATTCGCCCTTGCAAAATAACTCAGGGAGCTTTCACAAAGAACTAGAAAGGCTGAGCTTTCTTCATTGTTAAAAACTCCTAATCTCCAAACACTGTCCCTTATCTACATGTCCTCAAATCCTTGAAGCCTTTAAAGTAATTGATTACAAATTCATATACCTGAGAATTTATTTACGAAAAAAGAGTCAATTCTGGTTCTATGAAATTGAGAAATTACAGTGCCAATTACCGTAAATTGGTGAAAATTTTCAGGTTATCTGAAGGCAAAATTCATTTATTTGTCTATCCACCTATCCAATTGTTCATTCATCCAACAAATACCAACTGAGCGCCTATAGTGTGGCCAACACCATACCAGGTGTCGGAGACCTGGCAGTCCACAAAGCAGTCACGGACTTTTTTCTCGTGGAGTTCAAAATCCAGAAAGGGGTGCAGTGGGTAGGACTGCCCCACGTTTTGGGAGACATTGCCTAATGTTGGCTTCCCTTGATCTTCAGAGTATGGATTTCTACTTCACAACACTATCAAAAGCTGGTCTTAGTAACAGGCTGTCCGTATAATAAGCACAAACTAGCCAAAAGGTGAGAAATTCAGGCATGATTCACACATTCACAAATATCTATAGATGTTTCAGAAAACGTAGACAAAACATCCCAACGTCTTGGAGTCCTATAGGCACAGCTGAGTAAAATGAACTGAGATCACATCGGTTTGATTTGTCTCGGTTGAGAACCGCATTTCTAAATTGTGTAATCCATCTCTAGTCAAGTTCTTCTGAGACAGCCTTGAATTCTTAAAAAGCCCCTGAAAGCTAGATTTTACATTTAGATTTTTAGCATTGTCTTAAAAGACAGTGGTAGTTCACAGAAGGAGAGAATTCCCTATTGATTACATGATTGAGGAAGCACAAAAGTCTGTTGTTCTTTCCAAAGTCAATTGTAATTTAAGCTCCTTATCTCCCTGCGGATGTTCTATTTCAAATGGCCACAGAATCAAAATGTAAATGCCCCAAATGGAAAGGTTCAGGTATTCTTTTACCAAGCTATGCTCCGCGTGCTGGCCTTCAAAATCACAGCAGGAAAGAGTTTAGAAAAATCTGGCCACCAAAGTGACCAAGGGAAAGAACTCACACTCACCAGGATCCTGGAGGAATCGTCATTCCAGATTTTCCCACTAACTTTGAATATCTATTTGTGACATTCAAGATGGACATTCACATAAGAGCAGCCTGGTATGTTTTTAATATGATTTTGGATAAGTCAGTGGCTCTATCGTGATCATTGATAATAAAGAACTTTAGTACCAGTTGTGGAGATTTCTTCTCCCTTTCCTTCTGGCTTCAGTGAAACTCAGAGAAACACAAAAGGGCCTCTCTAAGTCTTAGGGACAGAAACCTTTGATTAAAACTTTAGGGGAAGGCTTATATTTCAATAACAAGATTTCACTGAAAACAAAAAAACAAAAAACAAAACAAAAAAAACAAACCAAACTGGCCATTTGGTCATTTGTATGTAGGACCAGTGCGACATGTAATCTGTCTTTAGATGCCTTGGGTGTGATGGATTGCCCCTTTACTTTGACAGAGAGCTTGGCATCCATTTATTAGCATTTAACATTATGCAAATGAAGCATAACAAAGACATCTAGAAAACACAAATGTAAGGTATCTGCTCATTTGCTAGCTGCTTCTGTTAACACCATGACAATATTTATATTGTTGTGAAAACAATTGATAATTTCATATCAACTGTACACTTATGGCTAAATGAAAACATACCCTAAGCTCCAAATTTATACAAGGCAGTGAAATGTGTGGAAATGAGCGTTTTCTCATCACAAGGGTGCAATGATTTCCCTTTATGAGAATCTGTGGCATCGCCTGAATAGCTTTAATATTTCTTTGTTAAATGATAACTAAAATATATGTTTTATTAAATTTTTCTTATAAAAATGAGAACTACCTCTTTCAAACTGAGTAATACTCACATAGTCTCCATTCACTCCCTTTAGTCATGCTTATCTCTTTTATAAACCTATTTTACATAACATTCAGGGTCCTCCCCTTTGGCCTCCCCCTTTTCCCTCCCCCCCCCACAGTTTTCTCCAATAAAAAAATGATATGTTTTCAGGATGGTCATCGAAATCGGCATACCTCCTAGTTTCCTCGCTCTTTGTTCTCTGTTGGGTGATGTACTATGAAGAGTAAGCGGAACTTGGTATTGACAATAATACCCCCTTGACAGGGCAAAATGAAATGTGCTGGGCAGGTCTGACTGGTTTTATTTTGTTTTCAAGAAATAGCTCTTGAACCGAGCTTCATCAATTTCTAATTTAGGAGACTATCTGACATGTAAACTTTATTTATGTTGGGGAATCAATTTCTGCATTTGAGAAAAGGGAACATTCAAATATTTGCCTCAGTTTTAATGATCTATGTAGAATGTTTCAACCGGGCATTTATTCTTTCTTGGGGGACATTTTTGTGCCTAAGCCATGTAAGTAAGTGCCCAAGTGATTATTGCTTCCTAATTCATTCCCGTGAGTAAAATCAGACTTAGGTACTTAGATTTTCGGTGAGTCAAAAGTGATGATCTGCATAGGTGGCTCTTAACAGGTCATTTTCCAGCCACTGATACTTCCTGAAAGATGGTATGTCCCTTGTCTATTTTCCTACATGAATATGTGTAATGAATTAGGCAGCTTTTCCCTTTAGAAGGAATAGCTTCTTTTCATTCACAATATTATATCCTGGTTTATATCTGCCTGATTTTAAAAGGAAAAATATTTTTGATCTTAAATTTCCAACAATATCCAGTTTAACTTTGGGGAAACTGATCTAGATTTTGTGTGTGACATATATATTTGCGTGTGTGTATGTGTGTATATATATATGAGCACATATCATGATTGAGCTTTGTAAAGCCCTAAGCTTTAAAATATTAAATAAATTCCTGTAACAACATATCCGTGTAGGTAGAAAGAGTTTAGATTTCTCCAGAGTTTATCAATCGAAAAATATAAAACTTAACCAGAAATTATTGAGAGCAGGGTTATATATAAACATCATAGGAGGATCAGTTCATGAAGCTGGGTCCTTGGCTAGTGTTCTCTTACCAGATTCATAACCTTTGGTAAGAAAAGACCTCAGTGTGTAGCAAATACACTCTGATAATATATAATTCGTGGAATAAATATACGTTATATTCTGTTAGAATTAATAACCATAGATACAAGCAATACTTAAAAAAAAAACAGTACTAGAGTTCTCTATCCTTGCCTCTAGCAGACCAAAAGTTGAACTAAATGTGTCCCACTGCATTAATGCATAATTAAATTCATGGAAACAGAAAATAAAAAAGCCAATTGCTTCTAGAACCTGAACAGAGTATAATATGGTATAGCTTGCCATTTTCAAGAGGGGGATAAAGGTTGCATTTGCAATTAACTGGAATTCTAATTTAGACGATTCAGCAATATGGATGTGGAAGGGGTCAGGGTGCGGGGGCAACACATAGGTTGGTTTCTTTTAAGTGGTAGCAACCTTGAACTGATGCAGTTTGAACTCTAGCCTAATGAGGGACTGGCTAATCTCTGGAAAAGCTATAGACCAAAGATTCACTTCATCTTGGCCTGGTGATTTATCTGAGAGTCATGGACTTGATCCTTCTGGTCCTATTTCAGTCTGCAGACTGGAAAAGCTCTCCCTTCACACACCGAGAATTCCCACTGCAGTGAATGGAAGGTCTGTGTGTGTAAGGAGCACGCGAGCAGCGGGGGTTCAGCCCCAAGAGAAAGAAGGTGTCGAGTCGCCTTGGTAAAGAATTTACACACCACATGTTCACAGCTTCTTGACAGGTATAATTATCAATGTCGTCTCTTCCGTTTACTATGTGCTGGGATTCTGAAGCACGGTTTCAGATTTGTGACTATCTTCTCTTTAAGGACCTGCAAGAGGGGGAAAGAGTGAAGGGGAAACCAGTGATTAGTATTCCTTTTGTCAACTGCAAGATGCTAAAAATATCGAAAGAGCATGTGCTATGTGAGAACAGCGGGGATTATTTTAGGCCCTATCACTCAGGCACCATCTTCCACATATGAACAAAAATTGTTTGATGTTTGCAAAGGAAGTAATTATCAAATGAGGATGGAAAAGACACAGTTATTCCCTAAAATGAAATACACAGCACCAGTTTGGAAACATTTCAAATGTAAAACCTTCCTTCTTCCCAGTTCCAGACGACTCTGTTTTTCTTCGTGAAGGCAAAGGATGGCTAACTTCTCCAGTGGGATTCTCGGGGCGCTGGGTACTGCTTCTGCTGCGGTACGGCCAGCGGGGCCTCTCCCTGCTGGGGGTGCAGAGAGCCCCAACATCCCTTCTCTGAAGCACATCCTCAGACCCCTTTCTTCTCCCGCAAGGTCAGCCTGACACTGAGCAGACCAGGGTGGGCAGCTGCCCATATGGTCAGATTCAGGGACAGCAACCTCCCCGAACACCCCCCCGAGACCCGTCACTCTTCCCCCCCCCCATTCTGGAATCGTGGCCGTCAGAGAGAACAGTGGTTTCCGATCTGTTTTTAAAGCTGCGGATATTTTTATACCAATGAGTGCAAAGCATCATATACAAAACAGATTTTTAGAAATTGTGGCAGGCTTTTCAATCTGCCTACTTTGCATCAACACCCTCCAGCTGGCATGACTTCTACAGATGTGCCTAAAGGCCCCTGGGGCCCACGGAGTGGCTGGAAAGCCAAGCGCCTGGCCACTGTGCTGCTCCAGGACTCACCTAACAGGCCTGACCTAGTGCTGACACTTGCACCACTACAATCCTAGCAGCTACGCGACTGCTGCTGAGTGCTCACTAACTGCCACATGCTTTGTTAAAAGTTCTACATCTTTATTTCTTAATCCCCATAACAGACCATTTTACCGAGTGTCCTATTGAATAACTAACTTCCTACAGGTGCCGGAGTTTAGCAAATGACAGAGAGCTAGAGACTGAGTTTTTGAGTTTTTAACAAATTGATGTATTGTATAGTCCATGGCCCAAGGGACTGGGACTCAGAACAGGTGAATTTTAGTAACAGTCTTGGATCTTTTCACCTACCCAGAGGCTGGGGAGGGATGAGGCCTGAGGGATACGCCAGCAGCTGAGAGATCCCTGGGTGTCCAAAATATGGGTCACTGAAGCAACCCCTTGGGAATAGCCATCTGCATCCAACGTTCTCATCGTTTCTCTCATCCCCTTGATTTGTAATTCAACAAATCAGTGATTTTTTTTCACTTGTTTAAATAAAAGACTTCTTTCTGTATTAGTGTAAATTTTATCACTCAGGTTGCTTTGCTGACTTTTAAATGAGTCACTGTGGTAGGCAGAATAAGGGACCCTAAATCTCTCCACATCCTAGTCCCCAGAATCTGTGGATATGTTAGATTTCATGTTAAAGGGGGATTAAAGCCATAGATGGATTTAAGGTCGCTAAAGGGCTGACTGTTAAAATAGGCAGCTGATCCTGGATTGTCCAGGTGGGATATACAATGAATGTGGTTAGAAGTGGGAGATGGAGAGGGGAGGAGCCAGGGAAGGGGGTGTGATGAGGAGGAAACAGAGGCCAGGAGCACCTTTGCTGGTTTGGAAGATGGAGAAGGAACCAGAAGGCAATGTGGAGAGCCTCTAGAAGCCAGGAAAGGCAAGGAAATGGCTTTTTCTCCTCGGAGCCTCCTAAATCCCAGAAAGGCTGTGCCCGACTTCAGTCCGTCGGAACTACAAGAAATTTATGTTTTTTTAAGCCACCAAATTTGTGGTGACTTTTTAAAGGCAGCAGTAGGAAATGACTACAGCTGAAGTGATGGAGGACTTAGAGGTAGGGGGTAAATGGTAAGGGTGAGTTGGATACCTCCAACACTAAGTAGCATGACAATGAATCTCTAGGAAGCTCAGGTGAGCATGTCTGTGAGGAGGGACAGGGGATGTAAGGGCAGGTGCCATCGAAGAAAGAAGTAGAATGGCACAGTGGTGGAGACAAAGAGGCTTTGAAGCCCATGTTTCTGGGTTTGAGTCATGGCTTTATCACTTATGAGCTGTGAACCGTGGTACTGGTTTTATTTTTTAAAATTTTTTAATTTATTTTTTTGCATATATTTTTTTTAATTGGAGTTCAATTTGCCAACATACAGCATAACACTCAGTGCTCATCCCATCAAGTGCCCCCCTCAGTGCCCATCACCCAGTCACCTCCACCCCCCTGGTACAGGTATTATTTTTTTATTTTTTAAAGATTTTATTTATTTATTCATGACAGACACACACACACACACACACACACAGAGAGAGAGAAAGAGAGAGAGAGAGAGAGAGGCAGAGACACAGGCAGAGGGAGAAGCAGGCTCCATGCAGGGAACCCGACGTGGGACTTGATCCCGGGCCTCCAGGATCACACCCTGGGTTGAAGGTGGCACTAAACCGCTGGGCCCCCAGAGCTGCCTAGGTACAGGTTTTTTTGTTTTTTTTTTGTTTTTTTTTTTAAATCCTACACACCTCAGTTTCTTCCTTTACAATGGGATTAAAAATAGTACCTATTACACCCCTAGGACTGTCATGAAGACTACCTGAACACATATGAAGCACTTGAAAGAGTTCTTGGCACACTCTCACTGCTTAATAAATGTTATCCAGCTTTATGATGATTATTTCTATTACACCGGTTTTCTGCGTGGTGACTCTGGGTTCCTTGGATTCATTTTTATCAGGGTTGTCCTTTGAGGCTGGTTTTCTCAGCTCTGCAGTGGCTCCCTGGATCGGATCATCAGGACAGCGGCTGTGGCAGTGGCGGTGGGAAGTTCGGGCAGTCCACAGTGGACAAAGAAAGGGAAGCGGGGGCCTGATGATTGGTGAGGTCCCTGGGAAACTCCAGCGACCCTGGACATCTGTTAAGATCCAGCCTGGTTTCAAATGCAAGGACTTCTCTCTCCACTGTCAATCCAGCAACAGGAGGTCAGAGAAATCTGACAATCTTTAGTCTTGACTTGCTCAGAATGTTGACAACTCAAGGAGGATTTCTTTTCCTTTCTCCTTTTATTCTTTGAGAATCTGGGCGAAATGTGGATGTATGTAAAATCATGCTTTAAAAAATGAGATGCTTAAAGCTGAATAAACGTAATGCTCTCTGTCACGAAAGTGAGGAGAGCATAAAAATATCTAGATTCCTATGCTCGGCTTAGGTTTCTATAATTCCATTGCGTAGTGATCATCTCTCTTACCTTCTAGAAAATGTAATCTATTCCTGATTATCAAACATGGAAGTTAGGGAAAAATACAAATGAGTTTTCTTTCAGGCAAGTTTAAAATTAAAAGTGGGCCTGAGAGATACTCTCCACACATCACTTACATTCAACCTATTTTCCATTTGTAAACATCAGTAGCCATTAGTAGTTACTTAATAACTTACACCATTTTAGATAAAAAGAAAAATTCCTGATTTTCAGAATGGAGATTGTGTTTCACGTGATAAACAGTAAGACAGTATCTGACAAGTATGTTGCTTTACTTTATGTCTTGGCATAACTTGTCAAACTCCAAAACAAAAAAAAAGAAAGAAGAAAGAAAGAAAGAAAGAAAGAAAGAAAGAAAGAAATCTGAGATCATTTCAAAGTAAATTGGTCAAATGAGCTTCAAATTTCTAACCAAAAGCAACCATAGTATGAGTTAGGAAGTGTAACAAATCCCATTTAATCCTTAAAAATTTAATTAATTAACAGTCGAACAAGAGCTAATGTAGGTCTCTTTCACTGAATTCACCATAAAATCCACGGATGACAGAACTTGGTTGTACTTCACTTGTACTTGAAATGGCCACTGGAGTTTCATCTCAAGGGGCCACGATCATGTGTGGAGCAAGTGCTGTCTTGGCAGGCAGAAATATAAATTTCATGTTCACTTAAATAGAATGTTACTGTATCCACTACAAGAAAATACAGTTCGTAAATGTCTTTTATTAAAAATGTCAGCCTTTGGGATGCCTACGTGGCTCAGTGGTTGAGGGTCTGCCTTCTGCTTAGGTTGTGATCCTGGAGTCCCAGGATCGAGTCCCACATCGGGCTCCCTGCATGGAGCCTACTTCTCCCTCTGCCTGTGTCTCTGCCTCTCTCTCTCTCTCTCTGTCTCTCATGAATAAATAAAATCTTAAAAAAAATAAAAGTCAGCCTTTGGTCATGAGACAATAGGAAATTCTGAAGAGGTTTAACGAAGGTTGCTGGAGCAGACCAGTGACATGGAGTGCGCAGCCCAGCAAATACTCAGGCCAAGTTGTACACTTCCAAAGGTGACTGAATGGATATAACAGTGGAAGCTTTTAGTGACACCTCAGAAGTCTGAATGGCAACATATTTCTTTCAAAACACTTCAGAATAATTTTACTCCGGGCCAGTGTGGCAAATCAATCAGGAAAATGGCACAAGTCGTCATTCTTGAGGATGGAAGAAACAAATGAGTTAGTGGAAAGAGCGTCCACGTCTGACGAAAGGATTGTGGCTTGGTGTTAGAAAAAAGACCTAGGAAAGGACTCCAACAGTACTGAGGTAAAGCACCTTTATATTTGGAATAGATTAGAGAGGAGAAGGATGTGGGCAAAATGACTTGTCCAGTGATGCGACCCCATCACTACATCTCAACCCTGTCATCCCAGTTGAGTCAGCGACTCTTGCCTAGACTACTATACAACAGCCTTCTAATTAGTCTCTGTTCTCACTCTTACCTTGCAGTAATCTATTTTCCCCAGAACAGCCAGAGTGATCTTTGTTAATACATAAATCAGACCATGTTACTCCTTTGCTTAAAACCCTTAGTGGCTTCCACTGCAATAAAATCTAACGTCCCTTAGTGATTTAAAAAGCTTTCTGTGACCTGGCCCCCATCTACCTCTCTGTCCTTACTCATTATTTCCTAACTAACTACCCCAGCTTTCCTTCTATTCCACAAACATCAAATAGCTCTTGGAGCTCTGCACCGGCTAGCTCCCCTTCTGCTTATGCTCATCTCTGGCTTCTCCTAGGCATTCAACCTCAGCTTAAATGTCATCTCCTTTGAGACGTCTCCCTTGATCATCTAATTGAAGGCTGTCACCTAGCCAGGGTCTATCAAAGCACTCCATTTTAACTCTGCGAAGTATGGGTCCCAATAAGCTAATTTTATTTAGCTATATAGTAGCTCTCTCCTCCAACCAGAATGTAAGCACCATGAGGGCAAAGACTTTGCTTTGTTCAAGCTGTTTCTACAGCCCACGGCAGTACCAAATAGATACTCATTGTTGAATAAAGGTAGTTTTTAGAATGAATGGAAGGTGATTTTGGATGAAATCACCAAGCTATGGTATATACGGTATAACTTACAAGCTATAAAAGATAAGACTGTTGAATTCTCAGCACAGGACAAACCCTGGAGTCCTTATACTTCCCCAAGTAGCTTCTCCTTTTTTTGTGTCACAAACCATCGAAAGTCTCATGTCATATCCAGTGTTCCTTTCAGGTTGTGCAAACAGTAATCTGATGTTGAATGACTTAAAACCACTATTACCCATTGTCACCTTTCCAAGAACATTCGAACTTCACTTCAAAATGACATTTGCAGACATCATCGCGTAGAGTTGTGTAATGCTATTAACTGTCTCTCCCAAAGGGGAGCAAGGACAATTTATAGAGCTCCAGAATATCTGATGTTGGCAGGTGAAATGCCCGTGAGAGCAAAAAGGATGATGATTCTATGCTCCTTGAAGGTGTGCTTGTGAGGGCTCCATGAAGCCACTGCAACTTCGTATCATTCATCTAAGGAACGGAGGTTTAGCGATACTTACTTGAAGGGTTTTTCTGAGGATAAGGACTAAGATGGGAAAAGAGCCCAGCACACAGGAGGGCACTTCAAAGATGGTGATTCTCACTCTTCACATTTTTTTCTTGGATTTTCTTAAAAACACATAGTAAGACCTGACTTAGCATTTTTGTCACAAAATGGAATTCAGAAAAAGGCAAGAGCATCACTGTTTAAGTGAGCACTCACAGAGAGTCTGGAATCTGTCAGAATATGCACACTGGCAGGTCTCCACTTCATTCTTCACAGTGAAGTGATTTTCCAATGATTTGTATTGGTATTCTAAGGGATCCTCCCAGGATCAGCATTATATGGTTGTTCAGTTTGTACACAGTGCAAAGGCAACTGGCCAAGAGGGTGAATGAGGGCTTGTTATCCAGTTCTGTGCCTGGGGAATCTGCGTCGCACAGAGGCTGCATTTTCCTAATTTATATAAAGGCATCCTATAGTCTGTACCTGACCCTTTCAAAGATATTATTTTCCAAAATATCTTACATTTGCAGGAAATACAGCTGAATGTCATATAAAGTAAGCAATGGTCTTGTCTTGTTTATATTTTCTGAGTTGTTTTTTTTTTTTTTTTTTTTTTTTTTTTGCTTGCTTGATTTCTGGGGAGGTGGGGTTGTTAAATCTAATGATGATATTCCAGCTGCCTAAGAAACCCTATTAAAAACCAAAACAAACTTGTCTGTGTCAGGGACTTCCTTTGTGCAGAAGAAGGTGCGCCTCACCTATGACATGTGGTTCTGCTGTGTTTGTTGCTGCTGTTGCTGTTGCTGCTGCTGAATTAACAACTGCTGCTGCTGTCGACGCCGGGCAGTCCGGAGCTTTTCAAAGCGAGCCTCCATCTCTTCCAGGACTTTGGGGGTGTATCGGACCACCAGCTTGACGCTGTCTTTAGCAGCCTTGAGCAGTTCCACAGCTTTCTCATGGTGCTCCCCTTCCACGCTCTGAAAAGACAGGGACATCTCTTAAAGGGGAGAACTGTCATGTTCTTCTCCCTGAGGGACCCATCTGCGATTAGTATCCTACAAAAATCTCGGTTTGAAATTTCAAGAAGGGGACTGCAGATGGGATGCACTGCCATCCTCGTTATCACTTATTGTTCGTAGGTGAAGTAGCAGCATGTTAGGATGCACTAGGGTACAGAATGGATTGAGTGGGGGTTCAGGTTTGGAGGGTGAGAAGCAACCAAGACCTAAGATTAACACGCTACTGTTTAGAGTGGGATTTCCAAAATTCATCGGGAAGACTAAATGCACTGGCCAAGAAAATTCTGAAAAAAGTGGTAATAAACGGGGACTTTTCCTATCAGATATTAATGTCATTAAATATCTACCATGATTACAACAGTGTCTCATCGTAGCAAGAGATAGAACACAGAGTCCAGAAGCGGATCCATCATGTGTAAAGCTTTGTTATATGATAAATGTGGGATTTAGACCAAAGGGGGAAAGAACTGTTAAATGATGCTGAAACAAGTAATAATTAAATAAGAGAAGATAATGTAGAGCCCAATCTCCTAGTCTGTGCTAAATATAACTGATTAAAAATTTAAATGTAAAAATAAAACCATTAAACAACTAAAATGAAGCAAGGCTTCTTCATCTTGCAATGAGAAAGAATTCTTAAGTAAACATGCCAAGGGAAAAAATTACAAAATCAGATTAATAAATTGTAAGTTTCTATATCTCACATACCATAGAAAGGCCACATAACAAATGGGAAAAAATATTCTTGATATATGACATATTGAGACATCTCAATATTTGTTCATACTCTTACCATGAAGAACATTTAAGAGTCTATAAAGTCCTAAGCAAAATGGTCACATGAACTCAGGGACAAAAAGTAATTTAAAAAACCCTATGAATGGACAGCTAAGCCCCGTTGCAATGAAAGAAGTACAGATGAACACAAAATATTTCATTTATAATTCAAAAATGGTAAATATGTGTTTTTAAAAATATGATGTATTTTCAAGGATGTAGGGAAATGGGGACTCTCATACACTGCTAGTAACTTAACACAAACTGACACAGTTTTTCCAGAGGGCATTATTGTTATGCATTGGATAAATCCTTTACAAAGAATAGTTTATTTTCAGAGAAATTTACTAAGGATATCATCAGATGTGCACACATACCTAGAAGGTAGGAATGATAAAGCAGAAAGCAAAAAATAAATCACTTCCTGGCTTTTGAGTACCAAATCTTTTAAACATCATGATAGAGATAAGAGTTGGGAAACTATGTTTTTACTACAAGTAAATACAAAGAGGTTTCTTTCCCCAAACCTTCTAAAGATTCTCCAGGTTGGGATTAGGGAGGAGCAAAACAGAAGCAATCTGTAATCAGACATCACAGGGCCCTTAAAAAAAAAAAAAAAAAAAAGGAGCTGATTTTCCTTGCAGCTGCCCCTCAGGGCAGAAGACCTAACTCCTATTTTTTAGGATCAAAGTGCAAAGGCCTTTTTGACCTGCTTCCTGGATAAAGCTCCCAGAAGAAAACATCTGCATGAGGACACAGGCTGAGAGACTGCCAGGATACCTAAGAGTGGATTGGAGTGGCGGGGAGGGCCACCCCAAGTTAGATGAGATCACATTTTACAACCCAAGCAGAAAGGGGTCTCAAAATGGGTATTACACCGAGTTCCAAAAAAACAAAGTAAGTTGCATTTTGAGTGCAATTCCATTATAGCTAGAGATTCGTAATTGCTCCATCATACGGATTTGGAGACAAGAGAATTTTAGCGCTTGCTTCAGCAAGGTGGATGTGGACCAAGAAAAAGAAAATGCTTTGAATTTAGCAACGAGGCAGTCACCGTGGTGTGTAAGAATGCTGTGTCACGTGTTGGGGTACCAAGCAGATACCAAGGGTTTAAGAAACAACCGTGGTGAGACCCAGAGGCAACTTTCAGAAGCACTCACTCCCTCACCAAGTCTGGGGCACATGGAGAGCAAGGGGTTATATACAGAGCAGCTGAGCAGAGTGAATTTTTGCCTGTGGCTAAAGCCTGGGAAAACTGGCTCCTTTATTGATCAACTCATTCTTTTCATCATCATTCATTCAGTCATTGACCTGGACACTCAACAAATGCTTATTTAGCCTTTATCCTATGAATTATATTCTACTAAGTTCTTTGGAAGAGCATAAAGGGTAGGGGGAAGCTTTGGCGACTTGGTACAATATCATCCCTGTTTTCAGTGTGCTCAAAATTTCTTTCCAATTTGGCCCAAGATGAATTGTTAATGTGGGAAACTCTGCTTCCAAGAGGAAATCTGGGCGATCTGGTTGTTCATGTCCTTCTCTAACGTCCTTTTTGATATTAAAATGTATGCGTTTATAGGTTTCAGTAACACTGGTTTGTCTGTTTTCTAGGCTCCTAAATTCCTTTTTGGCTTTTGTTCTATCTGCTTTCATTTAATAGGGTTGGAGATTCTAGGCCAGACCTTTAGAGGCCCATTATCCCAGCGTAGGCACTGCGCCTGCAATCCAGAGTTGCCACAAGAGAGTTGTGGTACTAATTTGTGAGGCCATCAAACTCTCACCAGAGGGACAAACAGCTGAGAGAAATATGACTGGTGAGCCATACCCAGCCCCACTGAGCCATCAAAGTCACCCTCTCCCACACCGAGCTCTGTTCTTCCCCATATAGTTAGCAATTTATTAAAAGGCAGGCCCCATGGTCTTTGAATCCAGAATTTTTGCTCAGGCTCCTGCAGGCTCATCAGAGTTAACAGGTCTCCTGGTTGACTCTACCTTTCGCTTTGCTGTTTGCACCAGGGCACAGAAGCTTCTGATGGGATCTGGGCAGAGTGCCACACTTCTGCTTCCAAAACTGCTTTGTTAAAATAATACAAATTATAGGACTGAACGGTACAACAGAAATTAAGAGGTAACTCAGAAAGAGTTGAAGAAATATGTTTGTAGAACGTAGTATTTCAAAAACTCTATTTTTTAATTGTTTTCAGAAAAATGTCTCAGTGACTGATCTGGATGGCTTCTTCCACTGGCTGTGCCTACCTTATGAATACTTTTGAGTGCGTATGCTTGCCTCGATAACCTACAATTTATTTCCTGAGTGCTTTTAGTTCCTCAGCACAACTTTTTGAAAGAATAAGGCTGTTTTCTGATTTTTCTTAAAGATAAGAACGAAAAAGCAGCTCACCTTCCCATACAGGTTTTATTCTACACATAAAAAGAAGCCAAGCTATCTGCTCAGCTAGGGCACACGTGTTGATGTGCAAACACTTGTTAATAGGTATTCCTTGAGCCCAAAAGTTTTATCACCTACCCCTAATTTTGGCTTGTCCTATTTCTCACTCTTAATGAAAGTATGCCTTATTTCACGCTAACTACGTAAAACATGTTTTAGAAATGTAATAGTGTATTTGTCAACAATTAAACATTTTTTTTTAACAATTAAACTCTTGCTATGAAAGCTGTGTATATAAAAGCTGCCCTGATTCAGAAATGGTCCTCAGTCACAGCCAGCCCAGCCTGAGCCGTCACTAAAAACCTGTAGCATCAGCTTTTCACGTAGCAGGAGAATGAGGCCCTTCTGTAATTTGAAGAAACCCGGCAAGGCTCCCAATTTTAAAGCAACATCCCCTTTTGCATTTAAAGTTGGAAATTTTTATGGTTAGATTTCATTCTCTTGCTTTAAGAGTATGTGTACGTATTGCAATTTTAGGACCTCATACGCAAGGATCCATTTAATAAAGTCATCTGGTAAAAGGTAGATTTTTATTAAGAAGGCAAGGGGTGGTAAAGAAGGCATGGGAGTATAGTAGGTACACCTAGGAAACATGTAGACCAAAGAGAAGTATGGTCCTGAAAGAGAAAAGGCCCTAAGAGAAATATTATGTACCCACAGTTATGCCTACTTTGGCCATGATCATCCACTGAATTGAATTAAAATGTACTAAGGAGAATGGACACCTCCAACCTGAAAATATTTATTTCTCCCGCTAAATCTCTTAAAAATACACATAGAAATCGATATGGGGAGAATTCAAATCATTTTTTGCCATTTCCAAATGCATAAATACAAGCTAGTAAGATACTAAATTGACATAAAACCGTAAGAATTGCATTGCCTGTAACGTTAATACATAAGAGAAGATGTTTTCATTCAGGACGCCGAGGGAAAAATCGCTCAGGAAAAACCAGATGCGTACTTGCTTCATCAGCAATCTCATGCAGTAGTTAAGTTCTAGGAAGCTTTCAAGTTAGTTAATGTGATGAAAGTTTAATAAATCAGTGGCTGGTAAATGAACCAACTTCACAACATGGCTGCATTCTGATCTTCCAAGAGCTTTTCCATTTCCACAGGTTGTGAGGTAGCAAAATGGTTGCTATTTCATGGTATGCTCAATTTCCTAGCTGATTAAGAATTCTTTCTAATATAAGGTAACTTTGGATCACACTGCAGACACTAATTTGCTCATGACTTGTGTTTTTTTCCCCACTGCAATAGAGAAACTAGTTGTTAAGTTTTGACCCTGGCTAGCCCTGGGATAGAAGAGATGCTTGTCCTAGGAAGGAAGCTTGTTATCTGTGCATAATTAGCTGTCAAATGGTCCTGCCCAGGTCTTTATGCAGGTCTTACTCTGTGGGGATCACATGAACATAATCCTGACAGAGTTTGCTGATAAATTGAACGCTTTTTCAGATAACCAAGAATTGGCTATATCTCGCAGATATTCTGAGCATATCTAGAGCCCAGCTTATGCATGGGCTCCTAAAATGACATCAGTCATTCCTTCAGATGCAGGGCCAAATCATGTTACCAGGGGTTATAATATCTAGGTAGATCAGAAACTCAGAGTGTTATAGCCGTACAGACCCTTAGAAATAATCTTAGTTATCTCCTTGTACTTTATTTCTTGTCTAGGTAGGTAACATCCATCACCATTCATAGTCACAAAAATGTCTTTCTTGAGATG